TTGTCTCGATCGGCTGCTACAGTGAACTCGCCCTCCCCAACAGAATCGGTGGGAAATGACAAAGCAGTGCCGACCAACTCGATGGACGCAGAACTTTGAACTAGGATCCAGGTGTCGTGCACGGACAATTCGCGTGCGGCTCTTTCCATTCTGCACCAACCGCGACAGCTCCATGTTCTCGCACTGAAGACTTGATCCTCCATGGGATTGTCAATGACAGGGCACAGGGCAAGAAAAAAACGACACATCTCCACGTAGGCTGGAATGCTGCTGATGCAGTTGCCCTGCGGGCTGCCGTCCGAGCTGCCTATGGCGCGCACATCACGAATCTCCAGCTGGGGGCATGAAAAATAATCGTACCAGATGAATAAGGGGCTAGACTGGAAGACATGCATCGGAATGGGCTTGGCCCGGAGCACGAATATCTCTGTTACATAGTCCAGAGGTACAGAGCCTGGGCTTGTCATGAGATGTCGTAAAGCATTCTGCAAAACGCTCATCTGCTTGAAATCGGGATCAGGATGTTGCTTGGCAACCCACTGATGTGAAACAAAAAGAGCGTTCCCTTTGTCGATGTCAAAGATGACGAGGTCACCACGAATCTGCAAGTCAGCAGTGGTCAACTTGGTTTTCAGATGTTTTCAGTAAGGGCCGCCGCTGCACCACCCATGGAACGATGACTGGACAACTCCACAAGTTCTGCTACAAATTGTACACACCATTTCTTATAGCACAACATCGATGCATATGACCCTTGGAGTAGCAGGTCTTCATTGTAAGGGTCCGGCTTTGCGCACGTCCCAGAAAAGCAATCATTTGCGCGGAGCACCATGGAACGTTGACTCAAACCCTAAAGCCTCAAAGGGCCTAAATCCTAAACACGAAACCGGAAGGACGGTTGAGCCTACCTAAGCCGGCGAGGTATCGAGCTGAAAGCTTTACCCGGGTTTGGGCTGATGGGGTTTAGGGTTTCGCAATTTGGGGTTCAGGGTTTAGGGTTCAATTCCAGTTGCGACGCTTGGAGAGCTGGAGTTTAATGTTTTCACATGCGCCCTGCGGTCTTTCGAGTAAATCCAGAACGTATCTACCAACTTCATCACACTGGAACCGCCTGAACAGAGCTAAACCCTGAGTGGACCTAAGCCATAAAATGAGGGCTCCAGAACGTAGAGCCCTGTCACCACAGATTAGATGTCTTGGCGGGCAAGATGCTACAGCGATGCAGTAGGATTTCCCAGGTTTTTGGAACAGGGGCTACACTCATTCCACCCTTCTGTTGGCAGAGACTTGGTCAGAGCCTGACAAAGCCCTGCGACCAAATTGCGAAAGAATGCACAATAACACTTCAAGGCATAGGTTCTCACCATACCGTTGGCGCCCGGCGCTTGTACTCGGCGACCCCATGCATGCTCTCTACATCCCCGGTGCATCCTCCCGAACTCCACAGTTCTGCAAGGGGCACGTAGGGAACATGCACGGCCATACATCCCCCTGACATTCCCGTTGCATCTCCCTTACATGTCGTCCCTGTCGCATCTTACTTGCATCCCTGTACATCCCAAATAATTCTTCCTTACATCCACCCAGCATTCCTGATGACCATGGGCATCTTTGCTGATCCCGTGTTATACCCTCAGCTTACATCCTGTTTCTGCGAATATCTTCTCCACGTGGGCTTGCAAGCAAGAAGTACTGCCTTACATCCCCTTTCCACGATCATCTATACCCGTAGGCAGGCTGTATCAGGCCTTATACGCGTCAAGCTTACACCGCATTGGCACCAGAGGTGTAAACACCGATCATGTTTCTTGACTTTAGGCCAGCCTACGCATGCAACGAAACACAGGCAGCTAAGTGTCACAAAGGCTTAGGCAGAAGACTCCAATGATGGGAAAAGATCCCTAGACCAAACCCTGAAACCCCCAAACTCCCTGAGCTTCTAGGTCTCCTGAAGCAAGCCGCTACACCCCTAGACCAAGCTCCCAAACTCCTAAAACCCCTGCACCTGCACTCGCACACCAACCCCACATCCCGAAAATCCAGCATTCCCTCCCCAATAAGGAACCCCCCTTACCCCCCTGCAATAATTACACCTAAGATAAGACCACCATATACTAGGGAATCATCTTTTTAAGGGTGTGCGGGAAGGTTATTATAAGCTCTAAACTCTGACATGTTTTTGCTTCTGGACTTGTTCCGGGGCATTCCGGTGTTTGCCACTATAGTCTCACTCTCCAGATTTGCGGAGGCCTGAGAGCAAAAGCCTAAACTATATAGCAGTTGCCATGTTCTTTCACAATTCCCTGACGTACCCCGATCTAACCCTGTGCAACCCCCTTGGGCGGCGGTGTATCATAGGGCCGGCAAAGTACCAGCCAGAGGCCCTGGCCTTGAGCTCCTCATGTGGGCGGATCTCCGTCATTTCCAGCAGAACCTTCGGAGTCAAGGGACAGGTCTAGGGGCTCACTGTACGTAAGCCCGAAACCCTGATCCCTCAACACCCATGTCTAGCAGAAATCTTACTGCCAACCTAAACCCTCAACCCTAAACCGCTCGCCTCCGCGGCAACTGTGTACATTGGGAACAGCATTGGCGCAGCCTAGGGCGAGACCCCCCAACAAACGGCGCAACAACATCTTTGGCCACTTGCTTTTTCGCTAGAAGCCAACTTACTCATTTCATGGGGTACTGTCAGTTAGCCTCCCTAGGCCCTGCATCAAGAATAGCCCAGGAAGCGACGATGTAGGTCACAGGTTCCTGTGCGTTGTTAGATTTAAACTCTGCTGCCATCAGTACTCGGGAGGCACCCCGCGGGACTTCGGGTCAGGCCTACTGTGCTTACCATCGGCAGTTGCGGAATTGGTCCTGCTGGGCCATTTCAGAAATTCCGGCCAAGGAGTCTAGAGTCGAGAGTCCTTCTTCAATGTGTCCCCTTGGACACGTAAGTTCAAACTCCAGAGTGTAGGAGGCTGATGATACTTGTTGTGGGGTCTAATTTAAAACGGAAAAAATCAAACTCAAGCGTTTCACAAGCGACGCCAGCGGCATCAGGCAGAGAGCTGCCATCAAGCACCGCTTGAGAGCCGGAGCCGCACGACAGGCAACGCGACATGGCCGGCAAAAAACGCAGTAAACCCTGACACCCATCAATCCAACTCATTAATGTTGGGGTTTAATATTGGGTTAATATTGGGGGTTAATGGAAAAGAAAATGGAAACTACTATAATGGGTTATATATGCAAAGTATATATACATAAATTTTAAGCCAGGAACCCAGAAACCAAATCAAACAAAAACATGGAACATGGACACCAAATACTGGCTTTTGGGTTAGCTAGGAATGAAGGAGTGGATCTTATAGCAGCCCCTCTAAAACCAATTATAGAAGTTTACTTTTACTTTCCATTCCTTCATTCCCAGCTAACTAAAGGCCAGGCCAGAATACCAAAATCATAAGTCCCCACTAAGAGCCTCCAGCCCCAACTCATACATGAGAGTGAGTTTGACCCTCCAACTTCCTATAAATATTCTCTGAGCCATCACACAACGGATGTCTGCAAGAAGTTTGGGCTGAGCTTTAAGGTTTTTGGGGTTTAGTCCAGGATTTTTTGGGCTTATCGTGTGTACCTGGGCCCGACAGCTCTACAAATACCCTGCTGTTGGGCTGTGGTCCATGGAAGCAGAGCGCAGGGAGCAGAACCCGCAAAACATGTCAGCCTTCAAAGCAGCAAGGGTGCAATACTACTAGACTGTAGGTAGTATAAGGCTTTCTCGCATGGCTTCAAGAAAATACATGGGACACGTGCAACCCGTCCAGTACACCAACTCAAATTGAAACACACGTAGCCCCTGTGGAAATGGCTCTAGAACTTGTGGGTTCTTGGGTTCCCTTGCAATCTATTCCAAAGACTGATGGCCATTATGTTGAGAACTCGAGCTTTTGGGAGCTTCGCTACTCATGCTGACTTGCTGACTTGGACCCCCAAAAGTATGTCGAGTAATGGCCGTTTCGACTATTGATCGAAGGTTTCAGGCCATTCGTTCACCGACTCTTCGGGTCCAGATATACTTTATAGGGTCGATGCTTGAGTGTCAGAAAATTCACGGGGCTTATGCTGCAGAGGTTGCCGCTTCAACGGCTTGCCTGCTTGTGGATGGAGGTAAGCTTGCACGGCTCTACCCTGTATACTATACAACCTGGATTCATACATATTGCAGCATCTGTGCAGCCTATGGAATGCAAGATGTCCTCAATCCAACTTGTCATCACCACCAATTATCCAGGTATGGGATCCAAGATTGCGGGAGGCTGTCCTCAGAAGCACTGGAAGCCTTGTGGACACTGCAGGCACGCACCATCTTTCTCGCGCAAACGTCCAGGCGGGAGGTCAACAAGTCTTGCTCGCCTGCAAGCTTCACTGCTGTGGCTCGGCTAGTAAATATAGGGGTTAGATAGGGCTTATATCGGGGATATATAGGGGCTATTTAGGGATTAGGGACAGGAAAAAGGAAGCTACTGATTAGGGGTTATACTGGGCTACGCCTATGCTGCATTTGCCGCAGCCATATGGGCAGCTTCCGAACATCTGGGTGCTGTGTGCACCCCATGCAAGGCACTACGTAACAAAAGGTGAATGGTTACAAGATGAGAACTAACACGTTGGACAATGATACATAGATTACGAATAGAAGCCCCATTCAGCACCGTGCTGAGCCTTAAACGCAAGGTCACTCGTCCGTTAAGATCGGCCCTGGAAAGCTCATTTTGAGAAGCCTGATATAGAAACTAACAAAGCCTGGCTACGCCCGCAGAATCCCTCTTTGCATCGCAAAAGCCAAGTACGCCACACATCCCTCCCCTCCCCGCCCTTGCTCTCGCTCTGTCTCTATCTCTCTGTCGCTACCTACCTACCTGCCTACCTACCCACTCTATATTCATCGAAAAAAAACATGCAAAGGCACTGTCACATTCTGCGTTCGCCTCCTCCACCGGCGCAAGCTACTCACCCGCAGCTGTGGGCCGCGAGCGAGAGCGCTCTCGGGTGTCGCCGTTGTCTTTCTGACCCGGCCGCCTCAGAAGCCACGGGGTTTAAGGTTTAGGATGGGCGGGGGGGAGGGGGGAGGGGGGGGGGGAAAAGGGGAAAAGGATCCTGGTGGTGAGGTGACTAAATTCAAAACTTTAAGTTTAGGGCGGCCTTCGCTCCTTCCCCTATAGACCCGTGACCTGTACTAATCTGAAGACGCGTTCGCTGTGCAAGGCGACGCTCGCAACAAAAATATTCCCAATTATGGGGAAACTACCCTATACAGTCGCACATACCCACTTTCTGTTCCATTCTCCATTTGATTCTGAGTTCTTGGTGTTTCCATTTGATGTCCTACTTCTTTCCCGTTTGCCCCTCAAGGCTACACATAACTAGGTTCAGCTCTGTGTCTGAAGAAGCCCGGCTGGCATTCGGACTTAGGAGCCCGCCCTAAGATTCCATGTGCTTCATAGTGGGTACTTGGGGCTTTGGTCCGGGTAACTGTTGTATCGGCTTTGGGGGGGGAAAATTGATTATTAGCTACTTGGACCCAAAGCAAGACATTGTGCACTTCTTTTCACACGTACCCTTTTGCTGATCGCGTGCCTGCATCAAATGAAGCTAACTGGGGCGGACAGGAGCTGCTGATCTGACTAATTCAAACATAAAGGTTTAGATAGAATATGGGGGTTATATACTATAGGGGCTATATTGGGATAATGGAAAATAAAATGGAAACTGCTGTTTAGGGTTTAGGGTTGCTGATTCGACTAATTCGAACATTAATGCTTCCTTGAGCCCTTTGCTGAATGACTTGACTTCACGTGATACAGATTCAGAGTGCTGAGAACAATCAAGCAGTACTGCGTTTGCGCATGACGTTTTCCTCTTGAAGTCGCCCGTGCATCTCCCACGACATTACCAAGATGATGCTCGACATCACCAAATCATTCATGATACATTTAAATTAGGTCTGAAAATCGTCCGGCATTATCCCTGTTTAGATTGGTCCCCTTAGACTGTCCGGTTTAATGCTCGTGCTATAACCGCACCTTATCCGTAAATCATGAAACGCCATACTTCCATACGCTGAAATAGGATAAAGGACAAACCTCTGAATCCTTGTGCGTTCAGCCTGCAATCCCCGTGGGCGCGGCCGCAACTCCACAAACCTTAAATCTCAAATGAAGCCTGCAAAAGCTCTTGTCAGGCACTTATTGGGGTCGGTTCTATGGGAGGTGTAATAGTGCACAGTTTCATGCCTAAACGGTGCGCTTTACAAACTTGTCCAACGTTATAGCACGTTATAGCCTGATAACGCCAGCATGCAAAACATGGGTTCTCCTAACCACCCCCTGTTATATACTCTACCTCCCAAGATTTCCCTACTAGTCCAAACTAACCTTATCTGAAGGCGGAACGAACCTAGATGGGGTAAAAAGTGGGTTGGTCCATCATACTAGCTCGCAACTGCGGACGAGTTTGAAGAATGGCATATCCCTAAGGGTCCAAGTACCCAATAATCATATACTTGCCCAAAACCTGTACTATAATTACTATTACCCAAACCCCAAGTACCTAAATATTGGGTACATGGACCCTTAGGGTACAAGCCGGAATGCCATACAAAGGGGGGGTCCCTGCACTAGTTCCTACAACAAGGCTACCATCTCTAGGGGCCCACATGTAGCCAAATCCTAAACCCTATAAACCTCTATTTCTTCCCCCAAGAAGGGTCCCTCCTTCCAGTTATAAGGAATGCGAACATAACGGATCCCTAGCGTGAATCCTAAACCCCACACTTGCCTCAAACCCATAGAAATTCTTCACCTCCTGCCACAAAGGTTCCAATTATTCCGTTAGGACGCCCTAGACTCCTAAGGTACCCGTGTTTTGAACTAGCCCAAACCCTGGAACCTGAAACGTCAAACTCTAGCCTGCAATCTCCCGAGACCTATAATGAACAAGAACTATTCTCAATAGTTCTCGGTTCATGTCTAAGTCTAAGGGAGTAGCCCGGTGAACCACTGGGCCCCGCACCCTTGGCCCTTTCCTTCGCCGGTGAATCGCATCCCCGCGGCTCTTGCGGCCTTGAAAACTTTTTACCGCCCTTCGGTGGATACTTAAAAACTTGCACGGCCGTAAGTGCCTTATACAATGGTCTGATTGTATTACAGTATTCAAAAGTGATGCGGGCTTTTTGGTATCACCAATTACGTTACTTACTGCTTGCTAGCAGGGATTGGAAAGGAATTTACTTAAGAGCTTAGGGCTTAGGAAAGAAAATGGAAACTACTAACGCGTTTACGGTTGAGGGCTTCGGGTTGTTAGTGGGGAACGCAGGAATGGACCCCTGTCTAGTTTATCCACAGCAATAAAGAATGGTAGTTCCCATTTCCATTTCCAATTCTTCATTTCCTGCGAATCACCAGCCGGTCCCCGAGTGCTGGGACTGTAAGAACCGAAAAAACAGAATAGAGCTTTGGGATTTTTGTACAATAGACCATGTAAGAATGCTCTGTAATTCCTCCCATGTATCCAAAGAAGTAGCCTATGTCTCAAATATTTTCTTGGGGGATTAAGGCTACTATCATGGGTATTTGGGAGGCCCAGTAAGTAGGTAGAACCCAATCTTTTTGCCCCGTGCATGGAATAAGGCAGCCCGTAGCCCTAGGGGAGATTATTTGGTTGGAGAACAAAGAACCGGACAACCTGGTCTGAAGAGGGTGTAGAAAATCCTCTACATACTCCTATACATATATATATAACAAATATGCATATATACGTGCCTTGATATGTGTATATAGATATATATTGAACAATGACGCAGTACCTTCTGGCAGTGATAGAACGGGCATTTGCAAGGGGAAGATGAAGCCTGCATGCGTCCTGTCAGTGCGGCCTTCACTGATGACTATACGCTGGTTTCCATGAATCGGGGCCCAATATAGATCCCTCAAGTGCCACAAGTCTTGTTGCTGTGGACCCCCAACTTCCAACAACAATTTTCCGTATGCAGTGGAATGGCAGAAGCCCTCCAGGATTCAGCAGTCCGGCATTGCTTAAATCGCACAGCAGAAGGGCCCCAACAATCCAACTTGCTTCAACCTTGAACCCTAACCTCAAGCCCTAAACATATATACTATAATATACTATAACACACTATAACATATACCATAGTCCTTAAGCCATGAACTAATAAAGCTGCCTTGAAGGGCTGGTAGTCCATGGCCTTAGGTGTGGGATGTCGGGGACACTGGGTTCATCACCTCCCGCTAATAAGGACCACTGCACCCTGCCTAATATCTTATATCCTTAGGATCCAAGTATACAAATAATGCCTACATTGGGCCCTAAAGTCTGCAAATATTACCTACATTGGGCTATTTGCATCCCTTGGGATATAGGTGGTGCTGTATTGCCGGGGGTTATGACTCGGTGTCTTGTAGGGCGTATACTCTCTGAGGGGCGCAGGATCTGGTAGGAGTCACGTCTTCTCTTCTTGTGTTGCTTAGGGTTTAGGGTTTAGGGTTTAGGGGGCGGAGGTCGGTGTAAGCCATGTTTGGATATTCGGGGTTCGTATCTGATAACAACAGGATTGGAAACTAAGTGCTATCTCGGCTGTTGGAGTGTGGCTAAGATTGAAGATCTTGGCACTCCTTGCATTGGTGCTTCCGTAGGACCGAGGGCATGGATACCTTAAAACTGTAATCCCAATATGATCCTCTGCTTTATGCTTACGATCCCTTCCCTACATCCCTACTTAGCACCAAGGAACACAGTTCAACCCTGAGGCTGAGGGCCTGAAGACCGAAGCTTTGGGTACTAAGAAGGGTTAGGCAATAACTTGGAGCCGTCTGGTGGCCTAAACTTGGCGTTAGAAAAACACCAATGACCAAGTGCCCGAAGGCCCATTTTAGCACGTCCGCCAAACGACCCATCGCGGTCAAAGAGGCTCTGAAACTGTGCGTGCAGCGCAGCCCGCGCAACCTAACACCTCAAACGCTCCACCGAGCTTCCATAGCCAGAAGGTCGGTGCTCGCCTTCTGCCCCACATCCTGAAGCAACAGTCGTATTGCTTGCACAAGTTTATGAAAGTGACTTCTACAGGCTTTACAAGGCTGCATAAGATTCACATTGTCGGCCTGATTCGTGGATATGTAGGTACATCTTTGCCACTCCCCATTAGTAGCCGCATGGCGGGTCCTGCACAACAGGTTTAAGAGACGTCAAACAGTGTGCCACAGTGGTCATGGCATTCAGTGTTTTTGTTGGCTGACCCGCTTGACTTTGGACAAGCAGAGCCCCAAGAAATACCATAATGCAAGGTTGCTACAGTATGGAAGGCCTACTTTGAAGTTCCTCTGCCAAAAAGCGGGACCAGATACAATTTGGAGCAAAAAATGACGGACTAAGGTTTAAGTCGCCTGCGTCTTCTTGTATAGATTCTTGAAACTGGTGACAGGCTGTCGTTGCCTCTGTCTTCTGTCTTTCATGGGACCCTCGCTTTGAGGAATCAATGCCCTCCTCCAGGTGCTCGACAATCAAGGCGGCCATCTTTCGATGATTCGCTTCGCCCTTGCCCTTCTTGGCCTTTCACAGAAAACGTGCGCGGCGGAAGGCTGATAGAACCCGTATTATTTGCAGGGCAAAGGAGCAAGCGATTTCCGCAAGTCACAACTAACCATGTACTGCCCAAGAACATGTTTCAGAATGCGGGCGTGCCTACTGGGAAGCTGGTACACAGCAGCGTCGGACCCATTTAATTTGATGGACCTGCCATCAAGTCCAAGATATTCCCCTCAAGCAAGGGACCAACAACCTCAGTCTTAATGCAGGAAACCTACGGTAATACCACACTGCTCGGAAAATAAAGACACAACTGAAGCCGTTGAGAATCGTGAGCAGCAGCTGCGCGCAGGAAAGTCGAAATCTTGAGCTGTAACACCCTACATCCAAGTCCTACAGGCTCGCCAAGATCTTATACCGGCCTACAACTCAACCAAGCTGCGAAACCCGCTCAAGGCTCTTGGGGTCAGAATCCCTGAGAGCAGCAGTATGTGGGTTCCTTACTCAAAATGGCTCTAGAACTAATCCCACGCACGCAACCTAAGAACCCTAAAGAGAAAGCCTTTCAGACAAGGCCCTTGAAGACGACGGCCTCTCGGCACAGAAGGGCGAAGGCTTCGCCTTTGGCTCCGGCACGGCCTGTGCGCCCCACGCCTGAAAGGACGCGGACACATGGGGATTCCACAAGATGGGAGAGGTTGACCAGAATGCACGTTACATGTGTTCAGAAGGGCCGGTAAAATTGTCGATGATACGTCGGAAGTATGCGGCCTGAACGGGCCTAAACTCCATACACCGGTACTACAGGTTTCCTTACGATCTCTGCGGGGCAGCGTCGCTTCAAGCTGAACAAGCATGGGCACCCACGACTATACATATGCCTAATACTTCCCTCATGTCTCTTCATAGTGGTGCGTTTGGGTTGGAAGCTCAGGTCGTAGACCTTGCAGGGTTTCCCAAAGGCTCCATGTAAAGATCTGGTATATACTTAGGGCCCAAAGGGGTTCCCATATGACCACTTGAGGGCCCAGGTATATACCATATAGCTACATGCGGCCTTTGAGTTTCCTAGTTGTTTGGGTTCCGTGGGCCTGGCCCCGAGTTATCGACATGAAGAGCGCTGGTGCAGGGGCCTCCTGGAACGGGCCTTTTGCTTAGCTGAGAATGGAGGAATGGCAAAGAAAATGGAAACTATTAGAAGTACAGTACATTTATAGAATTATAGGAATTATATATTGGACCAATTTAGGGTGCATATAGCAAAGGCCAGCCTCTTGCTATTTGAGCCTTTTCTTCGTTCTCGGGCGCCTTGCGCGCAGCAACTAAGGGGCCGGCTGAGTAGAAAACTGTGAGAGAGATTTGGAAGGACTGTCTCATATTGGCCTGTACTCTAAACCCTGAACCCCGAACACTAAACCCTAACTAAACCTTTCTTGCCCTTCATGCAACCTCTCAAGCTTGGAAGGTCGTCGCTTAGCGGAATTAGGGTTTTCCATCCTCGCAGGAAAAGGAGGCTTCAAGAACAGGCTCCTCTAGCTGTTTGAGGGGAACCCTCAAAAACCCTTTGTGGGCAGGGCAGTGGGCAGTGACAATCCAGGGCTTGTTTGTTGGCACAAGCTCAACAAACTCTACCTGAATATGTATCTGGCGGATTATCCTTGCTCCCCATTGCAGTTCTAGCGGCGGTGCGTGTGAGTCTCGATATCGCGCGCAACGTCGAAGGAGACCACCGTGCGGATGGTGGTGATGTCCAGACCGCGTGCAGCTACGTCCGTTGCAATGAGAAGGCTCCTGAAGGCTTTTCTGGTTTCAGTAGGGTTTAGGGTTTAGAGTTTAGGGGCGGCCATATGGCAAGGGTCTCCGTAAACCACGGATCCCGCTTGGGAGTCTCTCATAGCAAGGATGATGCTTACATTTTTGGAGGTCCATCTTGGGGCTTCGAAGTGATGGAAACCCGATTTAGTGCCTGGACATCGCTTCATAGGCCAACAGTGCCCAACTGATTTTCCGTTTAATTTTCCAATAGACTCGCCAGTTGGTTCTGACCAAATTACAATTGCTGGAGTTTGTAGGGAATGAGAGTAATATAGCGGGTTTATACAGGGTATATTCCTTTAATTCCCTACAAACCACCTGTAAGTACATTCTACATACTTCTCATGCCGGCCATTGACTGAAGCTGAATTGCTGAATGGTTATGCCTGACACCGGCTTTCAGCGTGTACCATGGGTCCTTGCTGGATTATCAACAACCCATAAGGAGCAAAATCAATGAATGAGGTATAGGGTTTAGGGTTTAGGGTTTAGGGTTTAGGGTTAGAGCATAATCATGCCCCAAAAGATCCACAGGCTTCTTGCGGCCAAGCAAAACAACCCTCATATGAGTGGTACACAAAAGTGGTACCAGACTTGCCAGAGATAGAGGGCCCAACATCCTCTATACACCCCTAAAACCCTAAATCCTAACCCTAAAGCCCTAAAAAGCCCTAAACCCACTCTACACCCCCTAGCAAAGGAGTGTTGACGACAACTCAGAAACCCTAAACCCTAAACCCTAAACCCTCAGCTATCAGGCTCATCTGGACATGGCAGGCTCCCAATTGAGAGGAGAACAGGAGAGAGAGGGAACCCAGAGTTGTAGAGATGCCGACATCGGTTTAAGGAGTTTAGGGTTTAGCGTTATAGGTTTTAGGGGTTTAGGGTTACAGGGTTGTATAGGTTTTAGGGCTTAGGGTTTGAGGTGTCAGGTTATAGGGCTTAGGACCCTGAGCCCACCTGATGCCCATACAGCCTAACTACCTGGCTCTGCGAAACAAAAACAAACAAAGAAACACATTGTTGTGTATAACCGCCAAAGAAACTAGATCAAACTAGAAACCCTACACAATCCCTTTTCACAACACAAAAGGAACCTTGACCAGCCCAAGCCAGAAATCCAGAAAAAAAACTTGTGCCCACCCAGTGGCTCCTATGTAGTCGTTCTTTTTAGGCTTGGTACGGTTTAGGGTTCAGGTTAGGGTTTAGGGTTTAGGGTTTAGGGTTTAGGGGGTAAGAACATACCACCCCAAAGGAACCACATACAAGTAGGAGGTTCTTGGGCGGGCTGCGGTCCCAGGAGCTGCCGCTGCTTGCGGAGCCCATCTATCACCCTCATGCGCTCGTCCTGTTAGGGCTCAGGCTTTCTGGACATCGGAGGGCCCTATATACGGTTTAGGGTTTAAGGTCTAGGGCAAGGGTATTTGACAATGCCTAGGGTTATATAGGGATGATGGGGAAGAAAATGGAAACTATTGCGATTACATGGGGGTGATATAGGGATTATAAGGAATATACGGAATATATTTCCTCTTAGGTATAGAAGGACGAAAGAAAAACAGCATCTGTTTGAGCCAAGTCTTGGGATTGGATTCTAAAGAACCGAAGTATCAGGTTCGAGCCCTCGCGAAGGGGTGGGCACTTGAAGGTTCAAGGGTAGTTATACTTGCGAGCTTGAATGGGGACAACTGTAGTTGCGACCCAGTTTCCTACGTCTCCTGGGTCCAGACCCACCTATACTGACTGGTTCTTAGCATGGAACGAGGGAGTATAATCCCTATATAATTCCTATATACAAGTTGCATCTTCAAGCAAGGGCCGTCTCAGAAGGGCGTCTCAGGAGGGGGCTCCGCTTTTTCAGAATTAGGGACCCTTCCCTGGGATGCTTGCCGGTTTTCAGAGAGGAAGGGTCCTTCGGGAATCTGAGGATATGCAGGGCTTATGTCGAGATTCCAGTCTGTGTGTCCTCCCATTAAGGATTGTATGAGGCATTTATGTGGTAAACCCTCCCATCGGAGAAAACCGTTGAGGGCTGGAGGGTCCTGATCTAGTCTGTGGTTGCTTTGAGGTCTTGTCTTACAATTGCGGTACAATTCGGGCGCATCTTCTCAAGGAACGGCAGGAAACAATTTCTCCAAATAAACGCAGCTTGTTTGTACTTGTTGGCAAAAGTCATCTTAGGTCTGACCCGGCTCTCAACTACTTAAGAAATTGGAGCACTGTCCTAGAACCCTAAGCTTACAAGCCCAAACCCTAAACCCCTGTCATGCGCTCAGCCTGCTCCAGGTCTCCGTGAAGTATTGCAGCTTCCCTCTGTACATCTGCAAACTTCTGCTGGAGCTCCTGTCAGTAACTCAAAGGCCTACTGCGGAGATCTGAATAAGTAGAATAAGGCCCTCGGGTATATTCTTGCTACTCTAGTAACTGTGGTTATACAGGGCTTCTCAGTCCTGGTTACGATGCAGGCTACAAAACAGGATCAGAAAGGACCCCTGATAGGGAGATGCTGTTGGGATTGTTCTGGGGCACCGCAAGCGCCCGCATGGTTTTAAATGGACTTCTCGAGTGGAGCGGATGTATGGAACTCTATTCGGACTCAAGTGGAATCAAATCAATCACAATTTCAGGGTCTATAGTACACAAAGAGGACTTCTGAAGGGCGAATATGTCATCTAACCTGCATGTATCTACTGACTGCCAGCCTTCACTCATGTAGGTGTAGCCACCACCCTAAGCGCTACGTAAACCTTCCTGAAATAAGACTTCACCCCAGCAGCGAGAATCATCTTGACCTACTCTTCCTGCAAGTTGTTATCCAGATAACCGGGTTCTGATCGATAGTCCGGAGTCCCCCAATCAAATTGAAACAAATTTGTTTGCGGGGCTCTTCGATTCATTTCCATTGCCAGTATCAATTCCGGTTCTCAAGTCTTCCGTTCCTGCCTTGCTATGATTCCGTTCAGCCAAAAGTTCGCTCTATTCCGTAGCCTTTATAAATCACTGCCCGACACTAGGAAATAATGATTTTCAGAAACCTTCACATCCGAGTTTCCACAGTGTCCTTTGTTGATTGCTTTTTGGGTCGCCTATATCAGGTGCAGTAATGTTGAGGGGGGATCCTATAATGTAGGGATTCTCCATGCTATGTGCGAGGGAATATCCGTAAACCCTGAAGTCTAAACCCTAGGGGAACCCAATTTTCTGCGCCAACATTCGCCGGTCCTGTGCAGCCTGCTTGGACTTCACAAACACCAGAGTTTGTCCCTTTGCCTGAGGATTGCGATTATGGGTTAAAGGTTTAGGGATGGTCCGTCCGAAAACATCAGAGACTTCCAGCCCTCTGCTGTAGAATAGACAACTGGGTTAACTGGAAGCAGGGCAAAGCAGAAACATGAACAAAAATAGCCCCACCTCAAAAATCGCATCTCAAAGACAACCCAGTTGCCAGCATCTGGTCCACCCTGGCATTGAGCCACCCAAATTTTTGGTCGTCGCTGTCCAGGACCTCAACCTTGACTCCAAAGGTTTAGGGTTTAGGGTTTAGGGTGTTGTAGGGAATAAGGGAACATGCAATATCAAACTAGGGATTATACAGGGATTCTATCCCCTTATTCCCTACTAACCACCACAAGAAAAGGCTTCTGCTGCGTGATCTCAGGGCGTACGCGATCCATGATGAAACAGCCCAGCCATGCTCTCCAAGGTTAGGGACATAGTCCCCCTTAAGTAGATAGAATATGGGGATTCTATAGGGTTAATGGAGAAGAGAATGGAAACTACTATAGTATATGGGGGTTATATTGGGATATCGACCCTTAAGTGAATAGAATATGGGGTATATGGGGATCTTATTATAATATACCCAAAGCCATATTCTATCTACTTAAGGGTGACTATACGTGTTTATTCAGGCAAGGCCTTTTGATTTAAGGAGTAGCGCTTGGGATTTACATGCTTGAAGCTGGGCACAAATCTTGCAAGTTACTCTGAGATTGTAGGGTCACGCGACTGCAGGGTAGTTGCCAGGGATGCCCTGCAAGTTTTTGCGCTGGCTTTTTCAATCCCAAAACGCAATTTTTTGAAACATCCACTATGATAGTAAGGCAGGAAGGAAGGGGTCAGGGGGAACAAGCACCTCACAGCAGACCAGGGGATACTCAACATGTGTTGGCAATCTGCTCCTTCCTACCTTGCTCAGCACCAGCCGGTACGGAGCAGTACCTTTTTTCGTTCCCGTGTGCTGGGTGAGTTCAAACCGCCTAACGCTAGATGTTCGGAAACGGCTTTCGTAACTAACCTGCGCCGCTGACAGGGTTCTTCCTCGTCGGAAAACACATGCTGTCATCTTTTTGGCACAAGAACTCGAAGTTTCGTACCCCTCCCAACTCCCAACTACTAATTGCTACCTTTGCCGGGTAAGTCAAAAGGCACCCATTGGAGAACTAATAGGTTGCTACTACGGAGCGTAATCTGAGTTACCATTATAAAGCACCCCGTCAGTATACTCTGTATATCTCTCTACATATACACACATGTTTTGCATGCACCTTATGGTAGCTTAATCGTGAGCCCTATTGACCCTTACATACGCCTCCTGTAACAAGAACTTACTACACACCAGCCCAGTTTTAGCCTAAACTCTAAACCCTGAACCCTAATCCCTAAACCCTAAACTCTAACCCCTAATCCCTAAACCCTAAACCCTAGACTCTAACCCCTAAACCCTACCGGAAAACCCTAAACCCCAAAACAGCAACCCAGACCTTTCAGCTGAAGCCTCGGGACATTTTGCTGGACATTGGCTGCTGCTTGCCCTGCAGTGCCCACCTGAGCATAGAGCAAAGGGTCACGGGGATTATGTAGGGGTTCTCTAGGGGTTCAATAGGGCTTAGAGTTACGTAACATGTCTGGTGGCTTCACTTGGAGTTTGGGGACTCATTAGAGCTTAGGATTTAAGATGGCTTCGCTCAGGGTTTTGGTGAGTTATGGGTTTAAGTTTTGAGGATTTGGGGTTTAGTGAATATGCAAGTTCTAGGGTTTGGAGTGGTTTGTGGCTTAGGCTTTCTGAGACTAAGGAACCCGGTATGGATCATCCGGAAATGGGGAAATCAAAAAGTGCTGGCGGGGTCCCGGCCACTTTGGGGAGTGTGGGGCCCACATTGCTTGATATCATTGCTCCTCCTCCTCCCTTGCCCTAGAACCTCAACCCTAAACCTTAAAGCCTGATAAGGCTTCTCCTGAGCATTCTCTCGAGGTTGCCTGGCGCTACAACTTGGCAACTCCCATGACGATTTGACAAGTTGATCTGGCTATCTTACCTGGCCATCAGCAACCAGACCAATGGTTTTAAACTCTAAAACCTCGGCGTAAGACCGAAAGACAATTCCCTCAGCTTCTAAACTAAGGAAAAATCCTTAGCAGCTTAAAGCCTCTATTCATTCACTACCAACAAGCAAGTCGTAAAGCAAGGCTTAGGCGGACCCCCCCCCACCCAATAATAGTAGTAGAATAGGAATAGAAGACCCTAATGTGATCCTTATTATCCCTTATAATCACTATTACAACCCTAAACCCTAAACCCTAAATAGTAGCTTCCACTTTCTTTTTCATTATGCCTATATATAAGCCCTATATATGGGGGATTGTCAAAATTATGGTCCCTTTTTGGGTCCCCTAAATTAGGCCCCGTACTAGGCCCCGTATTATAATAGGGACCCAAAAAGGGACCATAATTTTGACAGTCCCCCATATGGCTATGTCTTTAATTAACTGCGGGCGCCCAAGAATTCCCACCTAGTTTGCCGCTTGGCACTGTAGGAC